CCCGCGCCCCCGAGCCCTTCCGCCCCGGCCTCCCACCGCAGCGCTACTGCTTAGTTTCTTTTTTCACGCAGAAGTCGCCGGTTTGGGTCGCCGACTCCAGGTTGTGCTGCGAATCCTCCATGGGCCGGGGGTTGCGGGAGTGGATTTTCTGGTGACAATTCAGGGACTCTTTGTAGCGGAAGTGCTTCCCGCAGACGGGGCACTGGTAGGGGGTCTCCCCGGTATGGACTCGCCAGTGCTTGAGCAGGTGGTCCCGCCGGATGAAGCTCTTCCCGCACTCGGTGCACTGGTACGGCCTCTCTCCGGTGTGGATGCGCTGGTGGCGGATGGCTTTGGAGAGGTCTCGGAAGTCCTTCCCGCAGTAGGTGCACGTCAGCGGCCCGTCACCCTTCCCCGTATGGAGCTTCTGGTGCAAGATGAGGCTCACTTCCAGGCTGAAGCTCTCCTTGCACTGGGAGCAGGTGTACGGTCTCTCCACCATGTTGTTCACCTGGTGCCTGACAAAGCCGTACTTGAAACCGGAGCTCTTCTCCCCGTCGGGGCGCTTGGACGGTTTGGAGCGGGAAGACCCTTGGCCTTTCGGAGTTTTGGATTTCTGCCGGAAGCTTTCTCCGTGCTCCAGGGAAGTGCAGGCTTCCTCGCTGGCGTGCTCCTTCTGATGGGTGGCAAAGAGCTCCTTGTCCAGGAAGCTCACCCCGCACTCGCAGCAGATGTACGGCCCCTCCTCCACGGCCACATCCTCGGGAACATCCTTCTTGGCCAAGTCTCTCCCACGGCGAGAGGAGCGCCTCAGCCCGTTGCCCGTTGGGGTTCTTTGCTGCGGGGTCGATCCGCTCTGGCTCTTGCTGCTTGACTTCATCTCTTCCTCCGGGCTTGAGAAAACCTCTTCCCACTTTCCGGCCAAGGAGCCAGGGAGCTCAAGGCTTTCGGAACCTTCCTCATCACACTGCTGTTCATCTGGCAGAGCAGAGACATTCATGTCATTTCTCGGAGGTAAGAACTGCCTCGGTATTTAGACCGCGGTTCTCTGGCGGCAGAGCCTGGCACTACGGGGCGGCACGTCCCATCTGGGAGCTGCCCAAGCAGTACTGACACAAACAGAGCCAACCTATTTTGACTTGGAATCACAGAACCAGTTAGGGTGGAAAAGACCTTTAAAAACCATCGAGTCCCACCGTTAACCCAACACTGCCCAGTCCAGCACTACCCACGTCCCTCAGCACCACATCCACACGGCTTCTAAGGCCCCCCACGGGCCCCCCCCGCCCCGGGCCAGCCTGTCCCAGTGCTCAACAACCCTTTTGGGGAAGAAATTTTTCCTCCTATCCAACCTAAACCTCCTCTGGTGCAACTTGAGGCTGTTTCCTCTTGTCCTATCACTTGTTAACTGGGAGAAGAGACCGACCCCACCTTGCTCCAACCTCCTTTCAGGTGGTTGTAGAGAGCGAGAAGGTCTCCCCTCAGCCTCCTTCTCTCCAGGCTGAACAACCCCAGTTCCCTCAGCTGCTCCTCACAGGACTTGTGCTCCAGACCCTTCACCAGCTCCGTAGCCCTTCTCTGGACACGCTCCAGCACCTCCATGTCTGTCTCATAGTGAAGGGTCTAAAACTGAACCCAGCATTCGAGGTG